ATGAAGTAATGATACCTGCTACAACAAGGATTAGCTTTGATAATAAATGCTCAGTTAAAGAAGCCAGACACAAAACAGTGCAAATTGTAGGATTCCACTTATGTGAAATCCGTAGTCAGAAAGCAGAAAAGGTGTTGCTAGGGGAGAGGGCAGCAACTGGAAGTGAACGCTTGTGGGTCTGAACTTTATTTACGGAGTGACGAACATGTTCTGGAAGAAAATGGTGGCGCCACTTGTAGAGCCTCGCTCGTTCCAGCCGCGATGTCACCACACCAAAGGCAGAGTGGCTCATAAACCACGGAGATTTCCTTCACAGAATTCTGGAGCCCAGAAACCCATGTCTGTCCCCATCCTACCTTCCCCCCAGAAGAATCTGCTACTTCAGTTTGAAGACGTCTTTGCAGACTTCTTTCTGTGCATTTACATAAGCTGTGTACATCCTGGGGGGGAAAAATGTAATATTCTGTGAGCATTTTCTCTTACATACATAAGATTTATACAATTTGTACGGCCCTGTGACTTGTTTGTTTTTTTTTTTAATCTAACAAGGTGACTTGGTAAAATTAGTGAAATTAGTATGGTCTTTAAAATGCAACAGAGGGGGGCGCCTGGGTGGCTCAGTGGGTGAAGCCTCTGCCTTCAGCTCAGGTCATGATCCCAAGGTCCTGGGATCGAGCCCTGCACTGGGCTCTCTGCTCAGCAGGGAGCCTGCTTCCTCCTTTCTCTCTGCCTGCCTCTCTGCCTACTTGTGATCTGTCTCTTTCTCTGTCAAATAAGTAAATAAAATCTTAAAAAAAAAAAAAAATGCAACAGAGGCTGTCAGATCACCCCCCAGGAGGGGGCAGAGTCCAACCTGGAATCTTCCTTGTATTCTCTTTTACTCATTCTCAAGGCAACGCTCCAAGATAGATATGATCGTCAATACTCAAGAAATTAGAACATTAAGTTCCAGGGAAGTAACTCGCCTGACCACCTAGCACGTGGAACGTTCCCCACAATTCAGTGACTGAGTGGAAAGGACTCATCAGTGGCCCCGCTGTGGATTTGAACCCAGCACTGGCAAACCGGAAGGTCAGTTTGGTGCCTCTCCGCTGGGAACCGGGAACCAGAGAGGCAGGTGACTGCTGTGCATTTGTAGCAGATGCTGTTAGAAGCTAGCAGGAGGCAGGGGGCAGAATGATAATCACCCGCTCCCAGCAATCCGAGGGGAAGAGCTCTCCCTCAGGAGGACAAAATCCCCTAGAGCTGACTGGGAAAACATATCAAACATTTGGTAAACACACGACCTTTGGGAAGGGGGCTGCTCTGAACACCCAAGCCAGTAATAATCACCTGACAGCGATATCTTGCAAGCTGCTTTCTTATCACACCTCTGGCAGTGTGTCCGCCATCCTTTGCTGCATACATGATCTGTCATTAGCCCAGATGGCGGGGCTGATGTACACACCGGCATGTGTGAGCTAGCTCCGTAACCCTTGGGTCACCAAGCCCAGGGAGAGCCACTCATGGCAAGAGACGTGCAGGAAAGGGCCTTTTGCAGAGGGTTCATCCAGCATACCCGCTCGGATCTCTGGGAGATGAGTCTGCATGCCAGCTCCGCTGGGTGACTCCCGGTAAGGCACTTCACCTCTCTGAGCCTCAGGGGTGGTCCTGTGGGTGAAGGAAGACCTGAATAAGAAGAGGCCGGCAGAGTGACTTGTAAATAACTGAGCCATGGAATGGGGAGGGACGTCTCCCTGACACCTGCAGAGCCCCGCAAAGACGGGCAGGCTCCACACCCCTTCTTCTGTTAAGCTCCTGTTGTGTTGCAAACCACCCCAAAATTTAGTGGCATAAACAATAACACTTTTCTTATGTTCATGGATTCTGTGGGTCAGGAATTCAGGTAGGGCACGGGGGGGGGGGGGGGGGGAGGAGGGTAGCTTGTTTCTGTTCTGGGAGCCTTAGCCCGGAGGACTGGGTTGGGGGGCATCCCTTCCAAGATAGTTTCTATTGTGGGCTGAACTCTGTCTTCCCAAAAGACACATTCGAGTCCTAACCCTGTACCTGAACATAACCTTATTTGGATATAGGGTCTTTGCATATATAATAAGGTGAAGATGAGGTCATGGATTAGGTGAGTCCTAATCCAATAACTAGTACTCTTATCAAAAGGCCATTTAGAGGGGCGCCTGGGTGGCTCAGTGGGTTAAGCCGCTGCCTTCGGCTCAGGTCATGATCTCAGGGTCCTGGTGATCGAGTCCCGCATCAGGCTCTCTGCTCAGCAGGGAGCCTACTTCTCTCTCTCTCTCTCTCTCTCTCTGCCTGCCTCTCCGTCTACTTGTGATCTCTCTCTGTCAAATAAATAAATAAAATCTTTAAAAAAAAAAAAAAAGGCCATTTAGACACATACATACGCAGTGGCAGAAAAACTGGAGTGATGCATCTATAAGGCGATGAGAGCCGAGAGCCACCAGAAGCTAGGAGACAGGCAACAGAGTGGTATGGACTGAATGTTTGTGTCCCCCCCAAAATTCATATATTGAAGTTCCAAGCGAGAGTACACTTGAAAAATAGAGCCTCTAGGGAAGTTAGTAAGGCTCAGTGGGGTCATAAGGGTGGAACCTGACCGTGGAAGAAGATTCGTGTCCTTCTAAGAAGGGGCACGAGAGAGCTTGCTCCCTCTGTCCCCTGATGCACATGAGACAGCAGCCAGCTGATGACTGAGAGAAGGTGTTGTCTGCAACCCCAGGGGAAAGATTTCGCCAGAACCTGGCCATGCTGGCACCTCGGTCTTGGACTTCCCAGCCCCCTAAACCATGAGGAGATTGAGATCAATGTTTGTTGTTTAAGCTACAAAGTCCATGGCATTGTGTGACAGCAGCCTGAACTGACTGATACAGAGGATCCTTCTCTCAAACCTTTGGAGAGTACACGGCCCATGACACTTGGTTTCGCACTTCTGGCCTCCAGGACTATGGGAGAATAAATTCTTGTTGATTTAAGCCAACCGGTTGTGACAACCTAGGACATTAGTAAGAGTTTCATGGCTCACATTTGCAGGGCGAGAAGGATGAAGAACAGATTCGCCAGGGCTGCTGATCAGACAGTCTGCATGTGGGGTCCCCCCCCCAACCCGCAGCACACTGGCGGTATTCACTATGTGAATGAACTACTGAAGGCAACAGTAATAGCTTACAAAGTCCATTAATCTTTGACAAAGCAGGAACTATCCAATGGGGAAAAGGCAATCTCTTTAACAAATGGTGTTGAGAAAACTGGTCAGCCACATGCAAAAGAATGAAACTGGACCACTTTCTTACACCATGCACGGACATAAATTCAAAATGGATTAAAGACCTACATGTGAGATCCGAAATCATAAAAATCCTAGAGGAAAACACAGGCAGTAACTTCCTTGACATCAGCCGTAGCCACTTCTTTCTAGATATGTCTCCCGAGGAAAGGGAAACAAAAGCAAAAATAAACCATTGGAACTACATCAAAATAAATAGTTTCTGCACAGCAAAGGAAGCAATCAACAAAACTAAAAGGCAGTCTATGGAATGGGAGAACATGTCTGCAAATGATTATCTGATAAGGGGTTAGCATCCAAAATATCTAAAGAACTTATACAATTCAACACCTCCCCCCCCCAAAAAATAATCTGAGTAAAAAATGGGCAGAAGACATAAACATTTTTCCAAAGAAGACATACAGATGGCCGACAGACACGTGAAAAGATGCTCAATGTCGTCCGGCAATCAGGGAACTACAAATCAAAACCACAATGAGATACCACCTCACCCCTGTCAGAATGGCTACAATCAACAACCCAAGAAGCAACAGGTATTGGCGAGGATGCCGAGAAAGGGGAACCCTCGTGCACTGTTGGTGGGAATCCAATCTGGTGCAGCCACTCTGGACAACGGTACGGAGATTCCTCAAAAAATTAAATAGAACTACCCTATGATCCAGCACTGCCACTCCTGGGTATTTACCCACGGAATACAAGAGCATTATTTCAAAGGGATACATGCACCCTTTGTTACAGCAGCATTTATTACTGCTATTTACAATAGCCAAGATACTGAAGCAGCCCAAGTGTCCACCGACTGACCAATGGATAATAGAAAACAGAATACTATTCACCCATCAAAAAGAATGAAGTTGCCATTTGCAATGACATGGAATGAGCTAAGGAGTACGATGCTGCGTGAAATAAATCAGTCACGGAAAGAGAAATATCATATGATCTCGCTCATACGTAGCATTTAAGAAACGAAACAAACGAGCAAAGGAAAGAGAGAAAGAGAGAGAGGGAAACCAAGAAACAGACTCTTAACTATAGAGAACAAATTGTTGGGGGGTTGGGCGGGGCTGGGGATTAAAGAGGACACTTATAACGGTGAAAAAAATACAAATAAATTCATAAAAATAAAAAGCTTCTCAAAAAAATTTATATATATATATATTTTATATATATATATATAAATATATATATATATATATATATAAAACTTCTAAGTTGAGCTGCTGATGCTAACTGCTTTACAAGCATTAATCTATGTCCCGTTTTGGACTGGGTAAGCCCAGCGTGGGTTGCAGATGCGAACCAGCAGCTTCCTCTCCCGCCATGCACTCAGACCCCAGTGACGGAGGCAGGTAAGCAGGTCTCACAACCGGAGTCACAGGTGCTCTGAACAAGGAGATCCCAGACACGGGTCTACATGAGCTGGAGAACGGGGACTCAAGGAAGTCTCCCGGAAGAGGTGACCACAAAGTAGGACTGCCGTTGGGCCATAACTTACGGAAGGACCCTCGTGGCCCCAACAAGGCAGGTCTGTGTCAGGCTCGTGAATGGCGAAAGAAACAAAGTGCGAGGAACGAATTCCCACAGCTTCTAGCCATGGAAGCGTATCGCGGACGCCTCCGCCAGGGCAGCTCCGGCGGGTGGGCGTGGCCACGGCGCGGAGACGGCGGGCGCGCGCGGAGGGGTGTGGCCGCGCCTGCGCAGGCCGCCTACTATGGCGGCCGCCTGAGCCGGACCCGTGTAGGATTCCGTCGGACTTCCTTCTGCAGCCCGTGACAGGTAAGCTCTCGGGAGAGACGGCGGGATGGGGAGATTGCAGGGAGCCTCCTGGCAGGGACCCTAACCTTGAAACAGGGCCCCCACCGACCTGAAGGCCGAGTCCCCACTGGGCTTCAGTGTCCCTTGCCGAGCAATGGTGGTGGGAGAAGGAGCCCTGCTGTCGGGTGGGTTTCTGTCCGGGGTCCAAGCAGCCCCCTCGGCTCCGGGTTAAGAAGGGAGGGCGATGCCGAACTGTGACTGCCTTTTGAGAGGCGTTCAGGGAGGCAAGACAAAAAGGAGTCCCGGGAGGGGAAGAGGTCCCTGGAGCCCCTGACTCCCAAGTCTGCGCGCCGCTGCAGCCGCCCTGGACCGCGGTCCCTCCAGCTTCCCAGTCTTCACGCCCTGCCCTGCATTGTCCCGCGCCTGGACACGTACTGTCATAGAACTTCACCCAAATCTCCATGGTTGAGTGAGTGAGTTGAGTGGCATCTGGCGGAGGGAAAGCCTGGGAGGTGGGGACGTATTTCAGTCCTCAGATCCCAGCAAACTGCTTTTGGGCGGACCCTAGGGGAGAAAGGCTGAGAGCGTCTGAGTCTGGCCCCCACGGCTTTAGAGAGCCAAGCTGCTGCAGGATGAACCTGCAGCCCCAGAGAGGTCCGAGGGGGGTCCCATCAGCAGTCTGGGTGTTCTTTTCCTCCTCTAGACGGCACTGAAGTGCATCCAGTTGTAGCATTCCCAGACAGAGACTCTGAGTCAGCTATTCCTGAGTAGAAAACTGTTGCCTTTTTCCATCTTCAGTAAACACTCTTCAATAATAATTATTATTGCTACAATGATCGGTATTCACTGTTGTTATTTGTTATCCACTTACTATGCCCTGAACCCTAAAACCGATCATTGTCTCATTTAATCCTCACACAGGCAGGGAGGTAGGTACAAGACACCTCTCTTCCCAGATAGCCTGATCCTGGGAGAAACCCTCTAAAGGGATTCCAATTCCTGGTACTCAGTTGTAGGCTACATTTCCAGGAAATCTGGGTAGTTTGAATTTTAAAACTGAAAATTCAACTAGAAATGAAGAATTTGAGTTTTGTTTTTGTCTATACATAAGAAAAAAGTTGGTGTGCAATTATAGTATTAGGCTCATCTGTGGGTTGTCGTTTTTCCAACAAAATTGCCCTATAGCAAGAAGCAGCATCCTTTGGTTCATGTTTGATGTTCATAGTGTCATCAGAGAGGATTTTTTTTTTTTTTCCCAAAACTATATGTAAGAAGTTCTCAATTTTCCCCCAGGACATCTTGCAGTCCTGGGAGAGCCACATCTAACTTTGAGACATTTAGTCCCCTTTTTGGATGCGGCCTAATTTTCCAGTCCTCGCTGGTTGAGGGCTTTTGCCTGAGTGAGGATGAAGCATTTCTCCTCTGTCACTCTCACCGGTGCCGTGAAATCCTACATCATTTTACTAGGTTCACAGCCTCACTTCACAACCCACTGGCTTTATGCTGGCTTCTAGCGTCAGGTGGGAAAGCCAGCCTGGAAACTAATTTAACAAGGGGCCAGCTTTTCACAAAAAAATTTTGTGTAGATACAACTTTGGCTTCCCCGTGGCAAGTCTTTAAATGTAGGAACTCCAGTGATGTGTGCTCAGACTATGAGGGCAGCCTGGGTTATGATGATCCCATTTTCCAGCTGAAGAACTAGACGCCCGAGAGGTTTCATGACAGGCCTAGGACATACAGCTAGTGCACACACCTACCCAGGTAGGAACAGCTCCTGTAGGAGGTCAGGGTTTATGGGCAGGTTTGGGCCGAATGTCTAAAACCAGCCCCAACACAAGGAATTAACAACTGCTGTGGGCCATGTCTCTGCTCAGTTCTTTACAACCCTGGAACCCTTCAAGGTGAGAATATAGCTGAAGGAACAGGCCCAGAGAGGTGAAGTGATTTCCCCCAAGTCACGTAGCCACAAAGTGGGAGCCTGGGGTTTACACCTGCCCCGCCCAGCATCCCAGCCCATGACTCTGCAAGTTGCTGCATTGAGTGAGGTCTTGTGCTTTCCCAAGTACCTACTTTGATGCTTTCTGATGAGGCAGAACATTTGGTTGGAGAGAGAGTCTTCCTGTTTTGACTCTTTTGCCTCAGGTGTGGTTTTCCACACTTGGGTTATTGCTGTGTTGCCCGCATAATTTTCCGCATCTGTACATCACCTGTATGGTGATTGCCTTGGTTGCTTTTCCTTTGATACTACTCCCCTCCCCTTTTAATTTCAAAAGAAAGTTTTCAAGCAGCAAATTTGGGCCATAGGAGTCAACTTCTAGAATTAAAAAAAAAAAAAACTAAAGGAGAAGTCCCTAAATGCAAAGTATAAATTGTGGTTGAATACTGTTTTAGGAAAAACCAGCAATAAAGGATATTTGCATGAGAAATGGAGAAAATTGGCTATGGATAGCGATGAGGTCTTAAATGGTGCAAGGGAATCGTAAATGGTCTTAGATCTGCTAATGGGTTTATGGTTATGTGACAGCATGTCTTAAGAGACACTGTACAGGGGCCACCTGGGTGGCTCAGTGGGTTAAAGCCTCTGCCTTCCGCTCAGGTCATGATCTCAGGGTCCTGGGATCGAGCCCCGCATCGGGCTCTCTGCTCAGCAGGGGGCCTGCTTCCTTCTCTCTCTCTCTCTGCCTGCCTCTCTATTTGTGATCTCTCTGACTCTGTCAAATAAATTAAAAAAAAAAAAAAAGAAGAGAGAGAGAGACACTGTAGAGGAATTTGAGATAAAACGTGATGTCTAGAATTTACTTTCAGTTCAGGGGAGCAAAAACCCAGGTAGACAGATTACTCGACCCCATATGAAAAGGCGTTCATCACTGGATCTAAGCAGTGGGTATATGGCTGTATATTATGCTATACCCTCAACTTTCTTGTCTGTTTGAATATTTTCACGATAAAAAAGTTGGAAAAAATTGAAAGGAAAGGAAAACTTTCCTTTATCAGTATAAATTAGTATAAATGGAAATTCAGATCGTTGGCCATAAATAAAAGATTCCTGTGAAAATGAACACACTGCAAACAAAATAACACAATTCTAGCTGGATTATTTTCCCTTGCAAAGGCCCTGAGACTTTCTCCTTTAGGAAAAATAAAAGAGAATTGAAAAAGGAGAGCATATTCTCCTGGGGTGATGCAAAACTGTGTACCACCAGGTTGAGGAGTGTTTACACTTGATCCCCTTTGGGACCAGCTGTCCTGAGGACTTGATCTTGCCTTCCAGGTGCTGCTGTCCCATGATTCATGTAGAGCCCGGCCATGGTAGCTGGCCCCCACCCCAGCCATGGACGAGGTCACCTTCAAAAGTGACACTGTGCTCTCAGATGTCCACCTCTACACCCCGAACCACAGGCACCTCATGGTGCGGCTGAATGGCATGGGACAGCCTGGTAAGGTCCAGGACACGTGCAGAGGGGTCCAGCACCCCGTGGATCTCATTTTGTTTTCTGCTTTCTCATATTCCTCTTTTTGGGTAAAAGACTAGGTAGATTGCATTGTTCAGCTGTTACCCTCACGCTACTTCCTAAGTACCCTTGTTGCATTGAGTGAAGTCCTGTGCTTTCCTGAGCACCTACGTTGTGCAAGATTGAGGGGTGGGTGGACAGGACTTGATGCTGGAAATGTAGAAGGGAATGAGCCAAACCCTGCCCTCAGGAAGCCCATGTTCCGTTCAGGAGACAGGGTTCAAGCTTCCATTGCCCCACCCCAGTTCAGCCCCCTTTGTCACTAGGCTGGGGGCCTCCAGCTCCTCCCACCGGGGCTCTCTGGCATTTCTCTGCACACCCTCTGCCTTTTCATCTCCACAGCAGCCAAAGGGATCTTTTGAAAATCCAGATCACATCAGCACCCTGATTTAGGCCCTCCAGTGGCTCCCCCTGGCTCTTAGAATAAAATCAGACTCTTCACCCCAGCCTGTGAGGCCCAGCCCAACACAGGCCTTGCCTGTGTGTTCACATTTAACCTTTCTCTGCTCCTTTCTAGCCATATACTGCACGCACTTCTCTCAGTGCCTTTGTCCTTGCTGCTGTTTAACCTAGAAGGTTCTTCCCTCCCAGCCCTGACTCCAAACGTCACCTCACACAGGTCCTCCCTGGCCACCCTCCCCAGCTTTGATCACCCTGTATTAGCTTGTTGTGGTGTGATTAATACTCCCCTTTCCCTTGGGTCCTAGTTTGGACCCTAAATTCAGGAGCCAGAGATCCAGAACAGATCAGTGGCTGGCCTGGGGTTAGGTATCCTGGGGAGATAGAGGACTGCAGCCCAGGACTGTCCTCTTGAACCCTTGCACCCCTACCTCCAGCCCACCTCTCTGGAACACACACTCTTACTGAAACTCGTCTCGGTGACGTTCTAGTCACCGGATGGGGAAGGCCGCTCGGTGTCCTTGTCCTGTTCTCTAGCCCTTAGGAGGTGGAACAGTGTAGTGCAAAGTGCAGAAGTTTAGGAGTTGGGCGAACTGGGTTTGGGTTTTGCCTCAGCTATGTGAAAAGCTGTGTGGCCTTGTTGGCTCCCTTAACTTCCCGAAGCCTCAGTTTCCACGTTTGTAAAGAGTAGCTGGCACCACTATCTTCACAGCAGCAGGGAGGGCTAAGATGATGGGGGCCGAGCACCTTCACTATAGATGCTCATCTGATGGTAGCTGCTGTCCGTGGCCCCAGCTTCTTGGCTGAGCCAAATGGGCCTTTTCTGTGGCCATTACTAGGCCTCCACCAGGAGGTCTCCACCAGACTTTGAAACTCTGTCCGGGTGGGAATCAAATTTTCTGCAAGGAGGAGACCGCTTGGAGATAATTCTCCTTTTGTGTTTGTCTTGCCTTCCAGTTTTCCTGTCCCAGTTCAAGCTTCTGTGGAACCGAGACTCTCAGGCAGACTCCGGGGCTGAGGGTGGCCATCATGGCATGGGTCCTGCAGAGCAGACACCGCCCTCTGGGCCAGGCAGCACCAGACCCCCTCTGGGCAGTGACTGCAGTAGTGATATCACCAGCCAGGAGGGGGTGGGAGCTCGGCTTGACGAGGATGGGGATTTGGACGTCGAGAGGAGACCGCGGGCAGCTTCGGACTCCGAGCCAGCAGAGCCTCCAAGAGACAAGGTACATCCCACGATTCTAGCACAGGAGGAAGATGATCCCCTGGCAGACGAAGCACGAGAGAGCAGCCCCCAGGATGTCATCAGAATAGGTGAGTCCAGGTCAGCTCGTCTGCCACCAGTGCGGCACTGTAGTGTGGATCAGGGCCCAGGGCGTTTGCTCATGGGCTCTGTGTGCAGGCCCAGACCAGGGTGTACTGGAACCAGACGAGTTACCAGAACCAGCGACACTGAAACTGAGCGCAGGTAGCGCCACTGCCAGCAGGGGGAGCTGTCTGGGACACACAGGTCCCTCTCCTGCTCTCCATTGTTCTCAGGATACAGTCCAGGCAACTGGGCCTCGCTCACAGGGCCCTGCCTGACATGACTCTGCTCAGTGCTCACCCCTCCATGCGCTTTCTCACCTGTGGGCCTCTGCTGTGTTCCACTTCCTTCCTGGAGGGCCTGCCCCCAGCCTCTTCTCCCTCCCTACCTGCCTACCTTCCTTTCTTTCTTCAGTCTTTTCTTCTTTCCTTTTCCTTCCTTCCTTCCTTCCTTCCTTGCCCATCATGGAGCCCAGTGTGGGGCTTGAACCCATGACCTTAGATCAGGACCTGAGCTGAGATCAAGAGTTGGATGCCTCACTGACTGAGCCAATCAGGTACTCCCTGCTCCCAGCCTCATGTTTCTTAACACGTTCCTAGTTGTACATATCCCAGCTTCACTGTTGCCTCCCCTGGGGAGCCCTGCTGCCACCACCTCCCACGCCAATGTTTTGATTCAACTCAGCATGCTGGAGCGTTGGGTCAGGGTAGAGTTGCTGGAAGACTCAGCAGCAGGGTGCCGTGGAAGATTCTGGAGCCAGAGCGTGGCAGGGAAAGAAGGAGGTAGTCCAGAATCGATCTGGAGGAGGCCTGCAGGCCAGTCAGAAAGACCGGGAGCTAGAATATGGCTGGGAAGGGGAGATGGGGATGTGGCAGAAGTGGGGCGGGAACGCAGAAGTAGCAGCAGCAAGTGTCTACCCCCAGGCATAGGAGCAGGGCAGAGGGGTGTGGTGACACCAGGATTTCAGATTCTGGAAGCGGGCACATTAGAAATGCCAGTAGTGGTGGGAAGCTGGGGCAGGAAGTGGGCCAGTGATGTTAAGCACCTGTCATGTTTAGACGTTTGACCTACCTCAGTTCATGTAAAGAAGCCTTTACAGCCCTCCTCTGGGACTCAGGAGGTATATACAGATAGCAAGCCACAAGCCCGACGCCACGCAGCTGGGGGACAGTGAAGAAGAGTCTGAATCCGTGTCCATCTCCACAGCCAGGACTCTTGCCTCCCTAGCACTGCTCATCTGGGGGGGAAGCACTCTGTGTTGAGTCTGATCGTTGTATCTGAGGCCCCCATAAGCCTGGACACTGGCATGGGTCGGGGACACGGGGTCACTTAGGGCACTCTGAAAAACACCAGCGCTCTCATCCATCCATAAGTCCATGCAACAAGTAGTTAGTGAGTGCCTGTTCGGAGCCAAGCAGGCTGTGTTCTAGTCCATTCCATTAAGGGTGATGTAGAATTCATACCAGAACGCTACTCCATGTTTTCCATGGATTACCTCTATTCCTCATAGCCTTTCCAGGGAGGAGCCTTCCCGTTTCACAGAGGTGGGAACAGAGACCAGAGAGGTTGAGGAACTTGCCCCAGGTCACACAGCCAGTTAGTGGCAGAGTGACAGTTTGCATCCAGGTCTGTCTGATTTCAGAGCCCATGTTCTTTTCGGGGTTTTTTTCTTGTTTGTTTATTTTTAATATTTTATTATTTACTTGACAGAGAAAGAGAGCACAAGCAGGTGGAATAGCAGGCAGAGGGAGAAGGAGAAGCAGACCCCACTGAGCAGGGAGCCCAATGTAGAACTTGATTCCAGGACCCTGAGATCATGACCTGAGCCAAAGGCAGACGCTTAACCAACTGAGCCACCCAGGCGCCCCACCACAGCCTGTGTTTTTATGTCATGTTGGGAAGTTCTGTCCCGGGGGGCAGGGGGGGGGCCTGGGGGGCCTGTGATGGCTCATTTAACTCTCAGCCTTCACTTAATTGGCCTTCCTGCGAGAGGAGTGGCAGACTCGGTTATTCCGTACAGAAGGTTCAGCCTCTGGTGTGTGGGTGTTTAACATCCTGGGAAAGTATCCTGCAGGCTGCAAACAAAAGTCCCACAGCAGAGGTCCCGTGTATGGTCAGGTTTCCGACTTGCCCATCTCGCAGACCTCATGGTAAGGCCCTTCCTTTCAGCATGCCGTCAGTCCTACCCACCCTGGAGGGAGCTGGGTGGCAAGGCGATTAAATGCTTGAGCTGCAGGGATAACCCCTGGGTGTTCCATCCCCAGCTGTATGCTTCCATCTGGGAGGGGACCAGGTCTTGGACTCTGGTGCCCTGCAGAGCTGGGCTTTGACCCACCTCAACCCTTCAGGAGCAAGGTGACCTTTGACAAGTGTCTTGCCCACCCAGAGACTGTGTTTGCACCTATAAACTGGGGCCCAGGATACTGCCCTTTGGTGATCGTTTAATAAGTAATGCCCAGTATGTGCCTGTACGGGGCCTCGTACAGAGCATATGTAAGTCTCCTGACCATCGTTTTCCTCTGACCTACAGACCAGGTCATTGTTTTCCAGTTATGGGCCCATCTGAGAAACCAATTAAAAAGTACCCAGAGGGGAGGGACAGCTAGCTGGCTCAGTCAGTTGAGTCCCTGACTCTTGATCTCAGCTCAGGTCTTGATCTCAGGGCCGTGATGTCAGATCCCGCATGGGGGGACCAAACACCAGGGGCATACGGGCTGCCCCCCTCACCTCGTAGGGCAGAGCCTTGTGGAGGCTGCTTCCGACCCTGTGGGTCTCTGCCCTGCCTCGGTCTCTCAGTCTCTTCTCCTGTTCCGTCGTAAGCATGTAGTCCGATGTGGGCAAGTCTGACGTGCACGTGGAGCCGCCCCGCACTGCGCATGTGTTGTGCGTGTTTTAACTCAACAGCCATCTTCTTCCTGCTTCAGAACACGCCAGCTAGTCCGTTACCAGCAAAGATGTTTGCCACGTTCTTTTTTCCCTTTGGTCTCCTATTTCTGTTCTCTCCCCCGTCCTCCATACCACCACCAGATTTTATCCTGATACATTTTGTGCTTGAGAATACACCTTCCCATAGTTCATCTGAAATAGGATATATACTCAAACTGACTTTGTTGACGTCTGTTGTGGTTCTAAGTGTAAGAAACACGCAGAATGCACCGTGACTGTTGTCAGCATAGACCGGCCCAGGCGACGTCAATACGCTGTGACTAGCGTGCAGTTACGGAGCACAGTAAAGTGAAGTCGGGGCTGGGGGTGGGTGGTGACCAGGCTGGTCCAGGACCTGCAGTGACCCTCATCTCTAGGCTGAGGGGTGGAGACACCCAGTTATGTGAGTGACGCTCACACAGCCCCTCCCGACTATCCCACGACCCGTGTCTCTGCCGCTCTGGAGAACGCTCAACTCTAGCACCCATCCGGCCGTGTTTGCGGAATACCATGCACCTCGTCTGTCTGTGTTCTGTCCGTCCCCATTTTCACGGCCCTTTCTCTTGGTTTCCATCCTGTCCAGAGCACACCATGGCCACCCCCCTGGAGGATGTTGGCAAGCAGGTGGGTAGGTCCTGTCCACTTCCGATGGCCCCAAAGGGTCTCCCTGGAGCCTCACGTCAGTTGTCATTCCTTGTCCGTCTCTCCCCCAGGTGTGGCGGGGTGCCCTGCTCCTGGCCGACTACATCCTGTTCCAACGGGACCTCTTCCAGGGACGCACCGTGCTGGAGCTCGGGGCGGGCACGGGGCTGGCCAGCATCATCGCAGCCACCGTGGCGCGTACCGTTTACTGTACAGGTAGGCCCGCCGCCGCAGGCTAAGGGGAAGGAGTCGCCTCACGGGGCCTGCTTGACTATCAGGAAGTGAGGCCGAACAGCCAGAGACGGAACTTCGGCTGCTGTTGACTTTTCCACACTTTTCCACTGGTTTTCTGCACCCTCTGTGTCTGGACATTTTGGTTGTTCCCATGTGTTTTGGTGTTTTTGTTTTTCTATTTGCAGTTTTCTCAGTTGCCCTGCGGTGAACCCCTCTGTTCACCATTGTCTGCTGATCCTGCGATTAGGTTCCTAGAAACAGGTCTGACCCTTTTTAAACTTTTTTTTTTTTTTAAGATTTTATTTATTTATTTGACAGAGAGACAGCGAGAGAGGGAACACAAGCAGGGAGAGTGGGAGAGGGAGAAGCAGGCCTCCCACTGAGCAAGGAGCCCGACGCGGGGCTCGATCCCAGGACCCTAGGACCATGACCCGAGTCGAAGGCAGATGCCCAATGACTGAGCCACCCAGGCGCCCCTTTTTTAAGCTTTTGATGCATGTTGCCAAGTGATTTCTTTCTCAGTTTTTGTTTGAAGTAGAGTTAGACTCACATGGAAGCTGCTGAAATGTGACAGAAAGTGCCGTAGAATCCCCCCCTCCCCACCGCCACAGCAGTGATGGCATGTCACGTACCCGCAGTTCAGTGGTGACACCCGGAATTTTCCAAGAGTGCGGTGCTCTCAACTACACCCACTCTAGCCCACACGCTTTTTCTGAAAGCGTGTACCAGTTCATAAGAGGGTAGGATCTCATCAGGGGAGTGTCACTGCACTTTGAATCCTCAGTGTCTGCAGAAAGGGGACATCTGCTGCTCTGCTTTGCATCTTGTTGATCCCTAGTTCCTGTCCCCACAGCACCCATTTTGTTGCTTCTGAGACAGGAAAGGGAAATTAGGGATCCCCCTGATGCTGGCACACTTTCCAGATACTTTGCGTTGGCCACTGGCTGGGCGTGTGCAGGGCATCCCCCGGTTCCGCTCTGTGCCAGGGCGCCTATGAATTGTCAGCGAGCCCTTCCCAGAGGCGAGCCATCATGCACCACCCAAGAGCTTTGCCTGTGCCTGGTGCCCAACAGCAGCATATACTCAAGTTGTCTTATCCTTAAGAGGGGGTTTCCTGGCACAAAGAAGGGGGCTTGCATCTGCACGGCACCTTCTAGTTGGCAAAGCCTTTCATGGGCTTCAGCGCCTGCCTGTGACTTCACAGTGACCCTGGGCAGGAGCCAGGGACCCTGTCACCATCCTTCATCCAGATGGGCAGACTAAGAGTAAGGTCAAGCGCTGGCCCCAGGTCATACACACGGCCACTGTCACATGGCAGGTGTGGGGGTGGGGGGGTGCACCCAGGGTTCAGACTGGTTTTCATGGAGCGGAGTTCTGTGCCCTCCCTCGGGCCGGCAAAGGGATAATTGGGGGGCAGCCCCAGGGCTCTGGTCTCCCACTGCCACTCAGCCAAAGCTGCTCTCTCTTACCTGTTTTATATGTTAGAATCCCACAGAAGATCTATTTGAACAAAAGCTCCCATAAAGCCTTACAAGCTGCTAAACTGGTTGTGTGCTGTCCGGCACACACCATCAATGTTCTGTCTACCCAGTGGCCCCGGGAAAGGGATAGGTGTGTCCCAGGCTCTGCATGTTCCCTGGAATGGAGAGTCTTCAGTGAGTGATGGGACGGGGTCGGGGCATCCACAGCCACAGTGAGCTGGGCAGATGTCACTCACACAGCTTTCTTTGCCTTTTTTTTTTTTTTTTTTTTAGATTTTATTTATTTATTTGACAGAGATCACAAGCAGGCAGAGAGGCAGGCAGAGAGACAGGAGGAAGCAGGCTCCCTGCTGAGCAGAGAGCCCGATGCGGGACTCGATCCCAGGACTCCGAGATCATGACCTGAGCCGAAGGCAGCGGCTTAACCCGCTGAGCCACCCAGGCGCCCCCTTTCTTTGCCTTTTAAGCGTACACTCTCCTAAGTGAAAATCAAGTTTTGGTAAAATACCCACAGCCCTGCACCCCATGCCCCTTCAAGGATGCATAGTACTAAGGATTGGTTCTGCACAAAGAAAGGGAAGCCCCACCACATCAGAGCACCAGGCAGCTCAGGAGAAATGGATGTCCACAACAGCATGCCCAAGAGCACACCCCCAGCATGTAGCAACCTGCCCTGTGTCTCAGTGAATCACATGCGAAAACCCACGCCTATTTCTTTCATACACACTCAAACAGGAGCACTCACCCCTTCCCTCTGGACTGCACAGTCCATCCCCACCAGCCCCATCATCTCTTACTAAAGGGGTAGATGGTTACAAGGGGCCTTAAAGTGAACGTAGTTCATGTTGGCAGTAAACACACAGGAGAAACTTGACTTTTCCATTTTGCACCTCTCTGCAGTCAGGCTGTCGACCCTGGAGATGAGGGTGCGGTGGTGGCTGGGGTTTCACGGCGTACCCTTCTGTCCTTCCAGATGTTGGTGCAGATCTCTTGGCCATGTGCCAGCGGAACGTTGCCCTCAACAGCCACCTGACTGCTGCCGGAGGTGAGGCCCAGCGGCTCTTCCCCGTGGGAGGGAGGGCTTTCTGTTCGGCGGGTGGGACAGACGCCCTGTACCGTGACCCTGGGAGCCGGGTGTGCAGACCCCGGTGAGCACAGTCCTTTGGCTTCACGGAGCTCCGCATCCGACGATTCTGTGCTCCTCCCACGCCCACTGCCGCGTCCCGCTTTAGCTCTCCCCCTCCTGGACGTCACATCGGTCCCCACCTGATCTCCCGGCTTCTTGTCTGACCCACCCAGGCTGTCCTCCACGTAGCATCTAGAGTGACCTTTCAAAACGCAAGCCAGACGCTTCACTCCACACTGGGGTGACGTCCAGGCTTGCCCTCTGGCTCCCAAACCTCCTGGTCTGAACCCTGCCTCCTTTTCCTGCCTTGCCCCCGATGGCCTCACTGTCCACACCCCGTCCCGCCCTGTCCAGCTAGCCGAGCGCTCAGTTCACGTGCTCTTCCCTCTGCCCGGACCATCCTCCCACCCTCGCTGCCTGATTGCTGGATGTCTGCAGCACCCGCAGACATGAGCTGACGTGATAGATGCCGCAGCCCCTCCTCCCCGGACTTCCTGTGCACACCTTCTCCGAGCAGCCTGGGGGGCACTTACCCACTCAGATCAGGTCACTTCAGCCCTTGGGCTTCAGACCCTTCCGAGGTCTCCTGTTGCTGTCTGAGTGGACACTGAGCCTTTCTGCCTGCCCCAGATCCTGCGGCAGTCTGGCCTGTCTGAGGGTCCCGCCCCCTCCTGTCAGTTCCTCATCATACTCAGATCCCCAGACCTCCAGACGAGGTCACAGTTCCCTACCAGAGCCTCACTTCACCTCAAAGCTTTGCATTTTGACATCTGTGTGACTAGTTGAGAGGTATCTGCCACCTCACTCGGCCACACGCTCCACAGGGCAGGGGCCTGTCTATGTGATCCCCCATCACATCACTGAATGCCCAGTCAACAAGAACTGGGAGGGAGGAGCAGACATGACTCACGTTCTCTTTGAAGCCTCCCCTGACACCCCAGGCTGCAACCAGAGCTCCTGTCTCCTCCTGTCCCCCTGGCACATATCCAAGCTGTGCTCTGACCGCATGGCCTGGTTGGTGCGCACTGGCTAGCCAGCCTCTCCTGTGCTGCTGGTCCCCGAGGACAGGGACACAGCTTCTAAATCTTTATATTCCCTGTGTCCAATGCCAGACCAGAGACCTAGCACTCAAAAATTGTGCAGGGAAGGAGGAACGTGGAGAGGATGTTGGTGGAGGAATGGACGGATTTGGGCATAGAACAGGAAGGGTTAGCCTTTTCTCTGTTTTGAGTTGGACATTCTGCTTGGTTTGCTTTTGCAGGCGGTGTAGTTAAGGTCAAAGAACTGGACTGGCTCAAAGACGACCTGTGCACAGGTGCGCCTCTCCCTGTCCCACGTCCTGCCAGACTCAGGGCCCTTTGTCCCACCTCTGGGATGTCAGCCCCGTGGCCTGGGCTGAGCAGAGGGTCCTGGCTGTCGCCACGGTCCCTTGGCTCACGGCTACTCTGCTCTATCAGCCAGTGAATGATGGTTGCTGGCAGCTCCCACCTGCTCTGTCACTCAGACTGGCGGTGTCCCTGTACAGTAGGCACAGTAATCCCCGAGTTCCAGGTGAGGACGGATGCTCTGGGTTCAGCGCCTGCCCAGGGCTGGGAGGCCGCCTCCCAACACAGTGCTCTGTCCTCTGTCCGTGGTGGGGAGTCGGCCATGTGGCTTCAGAGCCAACTGGGTAGGAGAGTTTTCTACATTTATTATAGAGGCTGTTTTAAACCTGCATGCTTGGTTGCTCTTTGTATGAAAACTTCTGTCACCTGCCAAACATTTAGCACCTTAGGTGACCGACCTCCCCAGCAGTCCTTGAGGGCAGCGTCCCTATGCCCATTCTGGTGCAGAGCTGAAACCTAGAGAGGTGAAACCCCTTTCTCAGGGTCACCCAGCAAGTTTGCGAGGGCAGCAGTACCTGTCCCTCGATGGCAGAGGCAGACCCCTGGCAGCCACATGGACAGCCGTGGCCCTGAAGCCGGGGCACTAGAATTCAGACCTGCCTGGCGGTGCCCTCCTTCCAAGCTACCCCCAGCTCTGTTTCCTCTCCCGCCACTTCTTTCAGCCTCAGAGCTGAACGTGTGCAACGTGGCTTTCCTTTCACAGACCCAGAGGTCCCCTTCAGCTGGTCGCAGGAGGACGTCTCCGACCTGTACAGCCACACCACCATCCTGCTCGCGGCCGAAGGTAAGCTGTCCCACTCATGGTGACCAGGCCCCTCGGGGACCTCTCCCAGGTGCCTGCCACACCCATCTGCGGCTTTCAGCCTGTGAGCTGCGGCCACTGCACGTTCATAGTGACCAGGTGCAGTGTGCGGGGTCCTCCGAGGGACAGATCTCCCTGATGGTTGCATTTTCCCGTTGCCCGTTTCCTTCCCCGCAGTGTTTTACGATGATGACCTCACAGACGCTCTGTTTAGAACGCTGTCCCGCCTCGTTCACAGACTGGAAAACGCCTGCACAGCCATTCTGTCTGTGGAGAAGAGGTGAGCTCTGTGCCCCCGAGAACCAGACCCCCTTCCGAGCGCACTTATTAGGGTCGTCCTGTCACTTGCTCACTGAGCACCTGCTGGGTACCAGCACGTGCCACCCCTTACCCATGTGGCCTCCTGTCATCTGCCTGCCCCCACCTCACCGGAGGGGAGAGGAAGGCTGGGGAGGGTAGCAGGGAACCCGTCATGGCTGACCTGTGAGCAGACGAAGCCATAAACACGCCCATGCTCCGGAGCCAGCACAGCGGCCACCCCTCTGTCGAGGGCCTCTCTTTGTGAATGTCCCCTCTGACACCTCAGGGCCCCAGGAATGCCTGTCTTCTCCCAATCCAGATGGAGCCCCTCCAGGACGTTTGTCACTTGAACATCCTGAGGCATTAGGGCTCCCACTGAGGGCATGTCTGTTTTGTGGTGGACACAGTACTGGACACTTGACACTGTTTTCTCCAATTCCTGTGCTGGGGCACAGCTCTTCTAAAAGCAATTGAAATAAAACCGGGGTCCCTGGCTGCCTCAGTCAGTAGAGCATGTGATTCCTGATCGCGGGGTCATAAGTTCGGCCCCACATTGGGTGTAGAGATTACTTAAAAATAAAATCTTAAAGGAAAAAAAGCCATGAAGCCGACCCTACTTAACGACCCAGCAGCGTAGCATCTAGAAATCTGCCCTGGGGAAGGGATCACGGCTGTGTCGCCTGGGCATATCCATCACAGCGCTGTTCACACGGATAATATCAAGGAGCTTCTTCAGGGCACACAGGAGCAGTGACAGCACGTGGACCTTGCCTGGATCCTTATTTTATAGACACAGGGAAACCTCGAGAGCCCTGCCCTGACTAGATACTGAAATAGTAAAGAATTATCCTCACATTTGTTTCAGGTGAAACAAAGAAACAGGATCCTTTATCTTATCGAGATACACATGGCTGTTTACAGAGGAGACGCTGTGATGGCTGGCGTTAGCTTTTTAATAATCCATCTGGGTGTGCGGGGAGGCAGAGACCACAGCAGCCATGAGGTGGAAGCTGGGATGGTTGATCACACTGTAAGAAATTTCTCGTAGTTAAAGATCTTGGAAAGAAAAGGGGAAAAAGCAAAGAATTTGAGTGTCAGGTTAAATCGTATTGCAGGTTAGGGTGTAGAGGTGGCTGCGCGGCCCCACTGGGAGGGCTCTGGAGGACGTGCTCTGAAGTCGCCCCTCTGATGGCTGCCCGCCCACCGCCTCCCAGCAGCCTTCTCTCCCTACTGCTCTCAGGCCCTGCCCTTCGTACACTCACTGCAGAAATGGTCTCGGGCACCCAGCGTGCGGTCTGTGCCGGAGGAAGCGTGGGAGGCCGGCTGGCGGTGGCCTGCGTCTGCCTCCTGCCCTGCTTTTGTAGCTCAGGGCAGGGCCTGTCTTTTCGCGTGGTGGTATCATGGCACCTGACTTTGCCTCTCTGAGCCTCAGTTGCCACGTCTTTAAGAGGGAAGCAATGACCGTGTCTACCTCTCGGGCTCTCTTGCAGATTCAGGAAGGAAGCGCACCATAGGCGCTCAGTGAAAATCCACCGGTGGGAAGTGAGGTCAGGGAGCCCAGGAAGGTGAGGCATGTGTGTCGGCTGCTTGTTTGCAGGCTGAACTTCACGCTCAGACGCCTGGATGTCGCGTGCGAGGCCTACGACCACTTCCGCTCCTGGCTACAGCGGCTGGAGAGGCTCGCGGATGGCCGGCTGCGCTTCGCAGTGGAGCCGGTGGAGGCCTCCTTCCCGCAGCTCCTGGTCTACGAGCGCATCCAGCAACTGGTAGGCGCGGCCCCCACCGTGTGTGGGCCCTTGTTGCTGTGCACAACACTGCTGACCCCGGGGTCCTCCAGACATGGGCCCTGCGCCCGGGTGCTGTCAGGGCAGAGGAGCGCGAGCAGGCGAGGCTGTGATGGGGGCTCCCCATTCTTAGGGGGGTCACTGCATCTGCTGGTGGGTGTGAGGGCCAACCGTCGCCTTGGACTTGAGAACATGTTCTTTCCCTGCGGGCAGTTCAGGCTCCAGAGGAAGCAGGGCGGAGTACAAGAGGTGGTTGATGGCACAGGAAGGCAGCGGGAGGGCACTTGGTGGGGTGCTCGATGCAGGAACCCCAGGAGGCCACATCTTCCCTGGAAATATGCTGGCCTCTCAGACTAGGCAGGCCTAGCTGATGACCCATGGCCCTTCCAGCCGGACACACTGGGTCCATCAAACTAGGCCTCAAAGAGTCATTGTCCTAGTCACGGTACACAGGCCAGGTACCATGCCGAGCTCCTTCCTCGGAGGATACCGGGACAGGGCAAGTCACGCCACCAGACAGCGGCAGAGCTGGGGCTTAACCCTACAGCCACGTCACTTCCTGTTACTTTTTTTAAACCCAGGTCAGGGGGAAATCAGAGAAACAAAATTACCCTTGAAAATCCCAAGAGCTACAAGTCCAAAGGTCTGAAATGAATGACTTGTTCTCTTTGCCTCGTGGCTGTGCCTTTTCTCTGGGTCTGTGGAGACCAGTCCTAGTTCTGAGGAGGAGAGGGGAGTGGGCTCTCCCTCGAAGGCTCCCCGTCCCGCTCCCCGAGCAAGCCCAGCTCTGGACTGTGGTTGCGGTGTGTGAGAAGCAGCTCTCTGTTCGCTTCTGCGCCGCCTCCCCACCCGTCTCCCTGTAGATGGCACCCAGTCTGCTTCGGCCCGGGGAGGACTCAGTTTCCACTAAGAAATTGGACTTTCTCCACCGGCCCGTGTCAGGAGAAGCACCACACGGCCAGGAAAATCAGCTTCTTAAGAAATTCAGCAGTCGGGACACAGCACTTAAGATCTCCCCGAATGGAGAAATGGCGACTTGCTGCCATTCTTCTGGTCCATTTTGATCGTGTGACGTCCTCATGTGTCTTGGATGAATGCCAGGACTTAGCCATCCAGCTTCTCTTCCATAGTGGGGCAGAAAGAGCAGCCCAGAGCCGCCAACCATCAGAAGCAGCTCCTCGCTCCCGCGCCAGTGCGCGTGCTGCCCGTGGTTCGCGTGCCGTGGGACTCTTGTCCTTTGCTGATTACTCCCTCTCTGACACCGTGAAGGCTCCTTTGTGAACCTCGGGAATCTGCTTTCTCTGTTTGCTGCAGGAGCTCTGGAAGATCTTTGTGGAACCGGTAACGTGACCTGTTGCATCCACGAGCGCGGCTTCTCAACTGGTCTCAGGATACGTTTCTAATAAAATCGAAAGCTCACCAAGTAATGTGTTTGAGATCGTATCATTTTTAAAAAGTGAGAGATGTACTTTATATGGCCAGGACTTTCTTGCTCTGCCTGTTTTCCGTGCTGCCGGCGTGCCGCATATGCGCCAGGATGTCTCGAGAGCTGTGGCCGGGTGGGGCAGGTGTTCTCAGCTTGCCTGCCCCTGAGTCAGGTGCTTCAGGTTCCCTGGCAGGCAGGAGACCCGGGGCTGGGCCACTAACATTTAGTGCTCCGCGGTGTTACCTGCTTACAGATGTGTATAATGTGGTCACCACAACCGCGATCAGAACACTACCAAAATGAGGCAGGGAAGCCTCATTGCTTTCCAAGCCTGTCCATGCCCCATCCCCATCCCTCTGGCGAGGGCCCATTCAGAGGAAGTAACAGGAGATGGCAAAGAGGCCTTCATTTTCAGTTTTAAATTCTTTATAACCAAAATCAGGTGAGCTTAGAACAGGCACGAGCACGCTCTTCCTGGTCCCGTGTGTCTGACCCAGGTCCCAGAGCCCATGCTTTTTCCACTCCTCCCCTTGAGCTCCTTTTTCTGTTTGCTTCACATGTCCATATTTCTGTCTGATCATTTGTCTTTTTCTCTGCGCCCCCCATCTCAACCCCTCCCTGTTGCTTTATGCCCTTTTCCCACCATTTCTCCCTCCTCTTCCTTTCCAGATCAGCTCCCACCCTCCTGCTTCCTTGGTCCTCCTGCGGATCTGCCCCCACCACAGTCCGTATACCCTCCTTGCGTCCCTTCCTCTCAGCTCCATCTGGACACCAGATTAACTCACTTCATCTTCCCCACGCCTGGGACTTCAGCTTGGTTACACGCATTTAACAGTTGCGAAAACTATGGCTCTAAAAGGAAAAAAATCTCCATGGGTCAGGGCTTTGTCTCTCTTAAACATCAGTGCATTCCTGGCATAAGGTCTGTCCCAAAGTAGGTAGTCAACACATAGTATTGAACTCCGGGGGCATTTGGCAATGTTCGGAAAGTTTTGGGTTGCCACAACTTGGGGAGAGGGTGCTGCAGGCCAGGGGTGCTGCTTAAACATCCTGTAATGCCCAGGACAGCCCCCAGTGGCAGGAGGGCCGGCGTTGAGAAATCTGGATCAGGAAGGAACAGTAGCTTCGTTAGGAAAGAAAAACGTAGCAGCTGAACATGCAGAGGAGATGACCCAAGAGAAGTCTCACCCTCCCCTCTGGGAGTGGGAAGAAGATCCACACACACTATCTCTGAATCCTCCCAAGACCCTAGAGAGGAGAGATCGCTGTTTTACGTGGGAGAAATGTGAAGTTGAGAGCGGTTGTGGCGCCCACCGCCCTCACATAGACACCACGTGGCAGTCGGGCTCGGAGCCCGTGCTCCCCCACCCCTTTCCGAGTTTCCCGGCCCACCAGCAGCAGCAGCCCTGGCCCAGACCTGACTCAGAACCTGCTCTTGGACAAGACCCTGGTGATTTGTGCCCAGCGATGGGTTCGAGAAGCGCAGCCTCTGAGCTCTGCGCATTTCCCGAGGTTCCTACACAAAACCATCCCTGATAGGCTTGCCATCCTTGAAAAGAGTTGCAGATCACAATGGGACATATTAATAACAAGTCCTCGAAACAGAGCCCCACGAGACACAGCCCCCAGCTGGCGATGTGTCAGCACTAACTGACATTTTCCTGGCACTCCTGGGGACAAGCCCATAAATGTAACTGGCACCAGGCAACAGAGTTGTCACGCCTTTCACCTGGCGCATTAGGGGGAGTGATTTCATGTCTAAAGCACTTGGCCTGAAAGCTTCCTCTAAGTGGTGCCTAGAATTAATCTGGATCTACTATAATTCAAAGCATCATCCGATTTTCACTTCTCGGAGTGAAAAGAGCAAATGAGAAAAGTCATATGGAACAGACCTGCCTTACATCCAGGCTCCCCGTTACACACGAGAGTTGCCTTGGGGACCAGAAAGTCCCTCCGAGGAAGAGGCAAGCCATCCTCCACACCACCGACCCCAAATCCAGCAAGACATCCTGTGGGCTGCCGGCAGTGGGAGACGTGATTCCTAGGGAAGCAACCTCACAGACCAAGTTCTTCACAGAGGGAAGACCATAACGCCTGCCCATTTGCAGTGAGACCCTTATATGCAGGATGGCCTGGACTTGGGGAGCCATAAATTGACAGGCAGACCTTGGCCTTACATGACTCTGATGTGGAACGTCCGTAGGAGACCCAGCTTGCCACCTCTGTGTCAAGGTGACCTGCACACATCTTGGCCCTCAGGCACAGCAACCACATGTGTCCCCCATGGGTATCGGGGCAAAAAGGCTGTGTGCATGGTCCTCCCAGGGGGATGACAGCTCTGTGCATGCTGTGTTTCCTGTCCTGCGTGCTCCTAGAAAGCTAAGGGAATGGACTTTTCATTTGGTTACGTTGCAGTCTACTGCGTCTTGTGGGAAATAGTCCGTTGGAACTCACCCCCATCCCTCGGCCAGTGCACCTGCCCTGCAGAGAGCAGCACCACAGACATTGGAAGGAGCTAGAGAGTCAACCCTGGACACTAGCTCAAACCAGCGAGACCTTCCAGATGGTGCTGTTTCTCACATGGCAACTCCATGCAGCGTCCAAAGCAGATGTCAGCAAGGATTCGCTTACCCGACATGGGTTAGTGATTCAGCCCAGCAATACTGGGCCGCCAACTGGTGGCTTTTTAGTCCGTGAACTACTAAGTGATGTTACAGCCTGTCTACCAAGAGACTGATATCAATCTGATAGTTTTGTGCATCTCAGCCCTCTGTTGGAACCACCACGGGCTGTGCTACTGTAGAAGTTAGTGGGCGTGAGTAGTGAAAAGTGCCCTGGAACCTTGGGGACAGCCCCGATCTCTGTCCCCACACAGGCCCGCATTCTTGTCAGCCCAGTCTGGCATTCAGTCTTGTGATTTCCTAGATGGGGGGAATAGAAAGGCTGGAAGTGTGGGGGCAGATACAGGAAGAAGAGGGGCTCTGGGTGACATCCAGCTTTCTGACTCGGGCGACTCTGTCTTCGGAAGTCTGTGAAGGCCCACCGCCACCCCCTCCACCAAGGGAAGATTGAGTGGAAGGACACTTCGAGCAGATGCATGAGACCTTTGAAAATATTTATTCTTCAGCATGTAAATAGAATGGAAAATCTTCCTGCTGTGAACAGCCACGTCTGAGTGAATTCGGAGACTTGCTTCTCAGGCAGGATCGGTCACGAATGTCAAGGATCTACTGCAGACAGCTGCCATGAGAGGTCTTTGCTTAAAACCCAAATCCCTTTGCAGAGCCCACTAGGCCTTCAAGGTCTGGCCTCTGCCTACCTTTCCAGTCCCATCCCGTCCGCCATACTGAATTCCTTCCTCCCAGAATGCACCATGTTCTTAGCACCCCCACCACTCTCTGAGACGCCTCTCACCCAGCCCCTCTTGTTATTTTCTTCATCCAGAAAGCCTTCCCCAGATGTCCACAGCCCCTGAGCCTTCTATGATATGACCCATTTAAAACTTAGTGTGATGGTTGTGTTTCCCCGCGTGCCTCCGTCACGGATGGGGAGCTCCATGGGGACAGGACTGGTGTCATTCAAACCCAAGCCTGACGCATCCCGTCATTCCACAAATATTTGTCCGCCACTCTCCGTGTGCTGGATGTTGACTGGGTGTCTGGGAAGAAGCAGAGAGCAACACATCTCACACCAGTGCCTTCGTGGCATCCAACAGGCAAAAAACATAAATATATAGGGTGCGTCAGGTTGCGTAAAGAACAATGACCCAGAAACCAAAAGTAAGGCCGAACGGTGACTGCACCGTGCAGCATTTGCTGAAAGGTGTTTATGTACCGGACTGCTCGGGGTGCAAGCATTTTGCAGTTTTGTGAAACTGAAACCACATAATGACTTACTTTTCTGTCTAGTAGGAAAATCACCCCAAGGGGAGCAGCAGTTTTGCCCCATGGGACCTTAACCAAATTTGTATCTAACATGGCGATTTCATCTTGTCATTTCGTCTACGTGCTGTAAACATCCTTGTTTCTCGTGTTCTCTTTTGAACCAGCTTTGTTGTCCTGCTTTGTCCCTCATTTGTGAATTACAGAAGACCGATGCGTGCTATCAATTTTTTTTTAAAGATCTTTTTTTTATTTATTTATTTGACAGAGATCACAAGTAGGCAGAGAGGCAGGCAGAGAGGGAGGAAGGGAAGCAGGCTCCCCACCGAGCAGAGAGCCCAATGCGGGGCTCGATCCCAGGACCCTGGGATCATGACCCGAGCCAAAGGCAGAGGCTTTAACCCACTGAGCCACCCAGGCGCCCCGCACGCTATCAGTTTTAAAAGAACTACATTTTGGTGGTTTAAGCTTTATAACCTCGACGGGTTTGATGAGGGCTATGAAGAAAAGCATAGGGATCTGGGGGCTAGATGAGCATCCATGAGGGGCAGGGGAGGGGGCCGAGAGGGGAGGCAGAAAACAGATGAGTGGAAGAATGAACTCAACAGCCCAGAGTTTTCAAGGCTCCTTACTGGGGGCCAGCAGCTGGTGAAGACAGGTGTGGAGCTTGTTCTTGGCTTCACATAGCCCAAGCAGCCTGGAGGTCATTTCTTCCTCCCCCAGGTTGCAAGGCTTAAGGGGTGGGCCTCATCGGGAACTTCGCCTCGGGGCTGGCTCAATGGAGGACCCTCGCCACGAGATGGCGCCCTAGCCTCGTGAATTGACCGCGGGACCTGCGTGTCCCCACCGCGCCCCCTCCCTACTCCCACCAAGGAACCCAAGGCAATCAATCATCAGTCCCCTTAGCTACTGGCATCTGCCCCAAAGCGTGGGTCCCCAGTGACTCTCGGGGAACCGTAACTAACCTGCTATATATTATACAGGCTCTGATTGCTGCCCAGTAAGCTGAGGCTTTAAAAGCATCTATAGCCTGTCCAGGGCCACAGGACTAGGAAGGAACGAGGTTGGGATCTGCGCCCAGGCCCCTCTGACTCTGTAGCCAGTGGTCTT